TTTTCATTTCCATTTGTTTTCATGTAATTTTTTATTTCTTTTTTGATTTTTTGTTTGATCCATTCATTGTTTAATACCATGTTATTTAACCTCCATGTATTTATGCTCTTTATGGATTTTTTTCTTGTGGTTGATTTCTAGTTTCATAGTGTTGTGGTCCGAAAAGATGCGTGCAATGACTTCAACTTTTTTTATTTTGTTGACACTTGTTTTGTGGCCTAATATGTGATCTATTCTGGAGAATGTTCTGTGTGCACTTGAAAAGAATGTGTATTCTGCTGTTTCAGGATGGAATGTTCTGAATATGTTTGTTAAATCCATCTGGTCCAGTGTGTCATTCAAAGCCAATATTTTCTTGTTGATTTTCTGTTTGGATGATCTGTCCATCGATTTAAGAGGGGTGTTAAAGTCCCCCATTATTATATTAGTAATGACTATTTCTCTTATGTTTGTTATTAAGTGTTTTGTGTATTTGGGTGCCCCTATCTTGGGTGCATAAATATTTACAAATATTATATACTCTCATTGGATTGTCCCCTTTATTATTATGTAGTATCCATCCTAGAAGGAAGCATTGGCGAGGATGTGGAGAGAAAGGAACCCTCCTGCACTGTTGGTGGGAATGCAAACCGGTGCAGCCACTGTGGAAAATAGTATGGAGGTTCCTCAAGGAATTAAAAACAGAACTACCCTGTAGTCCAGGAATTGCAGTCCTGGGTATTTACCCCCAAAATACAAAAACACTAATTCAAAAGGATACATGCACCTCTGTGTATTGTAGCATTATTTACAATGGCCAAACTATGGAAGCAGCCCAAGTGTCCATTGACAGATGAATGGATAAAGAAGATATTTTATACAAATACACACACACACACACACACACACACTGCAATATTACTCAGCCATAAAAAGAATGAAATCTTGCCATTTGCAACAACATGGAGAGAGCTAGAGAGTATAATACTAAGTGAAATAAGTCAGAGAAAGACAAATACCGTATGATGTCACTCATATGTAGAATTTAAGAAAAAAAACAAATGAGCAAAGGAAAAAAAAAAGGAACAAGACTCTTAACCATAGAGAACAAACTGATGGTTACCAGAGGGGAAGTGGATGGGGGGATAAGGAACATAGGGGATGGAGATTAAAGAGTATACTTATCATGATGGAAAAAAAAATCAAATGATTAAAAAAAATCAAATGAGCTATTGTAGGAGTGCTCTATAACCTGGAAGATACCACCAAAAATAAAAATTATTCTTACATCAAAAAAAAAGAAAGCGAAATTAAGATTTTTTTGGTAATTATGAGTCTGTGTGTATATCCATAACATACTCCTCAATTAGTAAATCAGATTGTAGTTATTTTGCCACATGCTTCCCCCCACCCCAACTGTACTTGTGTATAGAGCTGGTGGTCTTCACAATGCTTTTTTCGTAGGAGTTAATGTTACTTAAATGGCAAATAGATCAAAGATAAAAAAAAATTAGGGAACTCTTTGGGATAAAGGTATAGTGCAATTAAAGCCAAGCGAAGTCTGAGAAATTGCAAAATAGACTCATAAGGTCAGATGAGCTTTTCTCTTGTGACTATAAAGAGGAGAGTAGCAGTTGGGAGTTAAAACTTTCCCTTGGAAAAAGTGGGCAGTTGTAGCATTTCCTAAACTCACAGCAATTATTTTTTGTACAATTGCATGGGCACTTTCAGATTCAAAGATCCTTTTCTGGGAGGTGGGTGAACTTAAATAGTTCTTTTTGTCTTTCGTTAGTATATAACTTTTTTACATATGTATTTTGTTTCTGCAGGAGTATAAACACTTCCTTGAGAGTAGAGGGTGTTTCTGACACATCTTAGCATCTTTCAGTGCCAGAAGAATAGGGGCTTACCGTCAGGATCAGGTAATGTGCATAAGCTCATTTAATTTATTTTTTTTTAAATTTTTTTCAGGGTGTCTGGGTGGCTCAGTCAGTTAAGCATCTGACTCTTGATTTCAGTTTAGGTCTTAACTCTTGATTTCAGCTCAGGTCTTGATCTCAGGGTCGGAGTTCAAGCCCTGCATTGGGTTCCACACTGGTCATGGAGCCTACTTAAAAAAAAATCATCTATTTTTATTTTTGAGAGAGAGTGAGCACGTGTGTGCATGCATGGGGTGGGGAGAGGCAGAGAGAGAATCCTAAGCAGGCTCCATGCCCAGCACCCAGCCGACACGGGGCTTGATCTCATGACCCTGAAATCATGACCTGAGCTGAAATCAAGAATCAGATGCTTAGGAGTGCCTGGGTGGCTCAGTCGGTTAAGCATCTGCCTTCAGCTCAGGTCATGATCCCAGTGTGCTGGGATCGAGTCCTGCATGGAGTCTTGCATGGAGCCTGGCATGGAGCCCCACATCAAGCCCCGCAGCAGGCTCCGCATCGGGCTCCCTGCTCAGTGGGGAGTCTGCTTCTGCCTCTCTCTCCAGCTTGTACTCTATCTCTCAAATAAATAAATAAAATCTTTAAAAAAAATCACACAGGCCTGTACCCCTGAAACAAATAATACATTATATTTTTAATAAAAAAACATCAGATGCTTAACTGACTGGGCCACCCAGGCATCCTGAGCTCATTTAATTTTTATAAAAACTATGAGGGAGGAGCTATTACTCTAATTTTACAGATGAGGAAACTGAAGCACAAGCACAAGTGAGAGGTACAGCTGAAGCTGAGTCCCCTTGACTGATTAAGCAGGTTAGCTAAATCCTACCCTCGTATCCTGCAGCATTTGTCTTCAAAGAACAGGTTGGGTGCTTTCTGGAGAGAGATCTGGGATTCATGGACCTTACAGAATAGGTTGTATGACTACTTGCTAATGAATGGTTGACGAATTTGGCCTGAGGCTATCTTTCACTTTAACATAGCATCTGGAATAAAGTTGTGGAGGAGTCCTATAGCTCCACCTATCTCTTAACTATTGGAGGCTACTTATGTGTGCCCAAAAGAAGCTAGTAAGTGGGAATGACCAAATTGACAGGTTAATTTATAATTTTCTTCTTCCTTAGTTATCTCCAGCTAGAAGGACTCTAGTCCCAGAATCTAATAATGTGAGGATTTATGGTACACTTCCATGTGGTCACCACTGGGGCGACTGTCTCTGACATGAAGCCCTCCCTGCAGAATGTCAGCATTTGGAACATGGCAAGGCCTGCGGGCTAAGATTTCAAACAAGCAGCAGTTAGAAATTTAAGGTTGTCTCCAAACACTGTAGGTATCCTGGGCATTTCCAGTTCCAGTGATCAAAGCCACTGAAGATAAATGATTGTAGTTGTCACAGCGGCTCCTCCCACCACCCTTTTGGGTCGCTGTCGAGGAAATCCTGCCCTAGTGAATCTGTCTCTCCTCTGCATCTATCTCAGATGGCCCCATTGGATGCTCCCCTAACTCAGGTAGCTCCAGGTTCCAAAAACACTCGAGATTGTTGTCCTGGCTGGTTGTTTCTTTCCTTTTTTTTTTTTTTTTAAGATTTTATTGATATTTGACAGAGAGAGACACAGCGAGAGAGGGAACATAAGCAGGGGGAGTGGGAGAGGGAGAAGCAGGCTTCCCGCCGAGCAGGGAGCCCGATGTGGGGCTCGATCCCAGTACCCTGGGATCATGACCCGAGCCAAAGGCAGACGCAGAGTCGGGAGTCTTGCATTAGTACTTAAGCGCTCTGGCCGAGGGGACCCCATCACTTCTACTCACAGCTCACTGACCAGGACTAGTCACAGCCCCATCGAGCCAAGGGCACACAATGCTGTGCCAGGGGGCAAAGAGCCTCAGTAAGGACTGGCACAGACGTTAGCCTACCTTTCAAAATGCAGAGAAGGAGTTCCTAAAGGGTAAAGAAAGTAGTATTACTTGTATTTTCTTGAAGATTGGAGAATTGAGTTTCCTTAGAATTCAATTATCCTTCATCTCCTTGATACTTATTAGCATCGATTTATTAAAAGCCAGTAAGATGTGAAAAGTAAAACTCAGGGGCACCTGGGTGGCTCAGTCGTTGAGCATCTGCCTTCAGCTCAGGTCATGAGCCCAGGGTCCTGGGATCGAGCCCCGCATCGGGCTCCCTGCTCCGCGGGAAGCCTGCTTTCCCTCTCTCACTCCCCCTGCTTGTGTTCCCTCTCTCACTGTGTCTCTCTCTCTCTGTCAAATAAATAAATAAAATCTTGAAGAAAAAAGTAAAACTCACTTTGATTAAAAGAAAAGCGACTATATAAAGTTAGAGCTGACAATAGTCATCATGTCTTTAATTATACATAGAAATATCATTTAATATGAAGTTCTGCAATGTAAACAACAACCAATGACTTTTTATGTGTTTGGGATGAAAATAGAATGGGAGAAAATGTATTTTTTTTTTCCTGGTACAGAATATATTTAGTCAATTTTTCCCTAGCAAGGAATAAAAAGTCCTCTTCTTTAAAAATAGTAATTTCCTCACTAGGAACATTTGTGGATTGTGGTTGCCTTAAAAAAAATGAAAAAAAATTAAATATTAATTGGACAATGGATTATTTCCCTCTAGGCTACATTGTGGAATCATAGAATCATCTAACCCAGCATTTATTAGCATGCCTTGATTCTTTGTAGAATATCTATAATATTGTTTGAACACTCAAGACATAAGGGGCTCACCATCTGATAACAGATTTCAATAGAGCAGGAGCGTTATCAGGAATTTCCTCCTAACAAATGTTTAAATATCAAGACACGGAAAGAAAGCACTTGGTTGCCAATAACAAACTGCACCAAAATTACAAATGCAAACCAAGCCCTAGTTAATAATACTGATAATAATAATGATGATTTGTCACATGCCAAAATGTCATATAGATCTTAGCATTATGAGGATTCGATAGATATCGAATGTCCATGGAATTTATCTGTAGAATATAACTGAACCAGACTGATGCTCAAGAGAGATTTTGCACAAAAGGTGCAAATTAGGCTACCTCGTGTGAACAAGATCTACGGAAGTCGTGTTCCTTAGTGAAGCACAACCATCTAAGCCATTCATGCAGCACAGGATTTGTTTGTCATTTCCAGGATCGCTTTGGGTAGTCTCCAGCTGGTGGCATGGCAAGAAAGAGAAGGCTGCAGAGATTGAACAAACAGCATGCACTGTGGTATCCTTTATTTAAAAACTGTGAGCTAACTACAGTCGTAGTGTTCTCATTTACCATTCTGATGGCATAATAAACTGGGAGAACATTAACACAATTTCAAGACTTTAAAAACCTGTAGCAAACACACACACCACACATGGGCACACACATGACAACACACATGCACACAAAGATTATAGTCTAAACACAACTAAGTGAAGAAAAGCTTCAAATGCTCTAAATCAAATTTTAAAACCCTTTATTATAAACTGTGGCAATACTGTGGCTATTATGAAAAAAATTGTTTAACTGCTTAAAAAGCAAAAAGAAAAATACTGGCAAATTTGAAACTAGCAGCAAAAAGCAGATAAAAATAGAATGAAAGGTAACATAAGACTAATATCAAAGTTCTAAAGTTGATACTGTGTAGGGTTGCACTGAAGTCATTTCAAATTGGTTCTTGAGGAACTATCAAAAAGTCCCTTGAAATATGAAATTGCTGCACTTTACAAACAGTGGAAAAGAAAAAGTATTTGGAATGTTACACACACACGCAGAGAAATGTATTAGGTATATTGGTTTATAGTCTTTGTTTATGACCTTCAAAAAGTTTATAAAGAAAAATTTAAGTGCCAATATAGTGAAAGAAAAAGTCCTAAAGATGCAAGTCTGAGTGCATTTATCAGGTCTACGGATACATCTGAAGGCTGGGGGCAAGGCCTGACTGATGCACATTCAAGAAGAAAACATTGTGGAACCCCATAAGGTAGGTAGGGTTCTCTGGCGAGTGTTTAGAATGGAAGGTGTGTTAAAGTCAGACTCCCCTGAAGGAGATTCCAAAGGACGTGCAGTTCTACAGCCCTTCATCAGTTGAAATCTGTTTCATAGCGGCCGATAAATAATTAAGACTAACTTTTCAGCAAACTGGTTTTTCATACATTCAAACACAAACATCTTTACCACACATGCAGAGCTGATATTCTGTAACAGCACAAATATGAATCCTGGTTTCAGAAGAAAAGCACATTAGCAAGGATTTTTTTTTTTTCCACGGGTTCTTACAAAAATGTCTGAAGCTGCTAGACATCTGCAAAGAGGGGATAAGTTTAGATTTCCTACTGATTTTGGAAGAAAAGAGATTCTATTTTCCTAAGGAAGCCAGCCATCCACGAAGCAGGGAACCGGTCTTCAGAATCTAAGAAGCGTCATGTCCTTAGTGCTTAAACTCATGGCAAGTTCAGAGCCAGCAAAACTGGCAGGTGGAACAGGGGAGAGAAATGAAAAGTTTGCATGTCTATAGTATACTTTGGAATCAAATGGGCCTCGTAAGTTAAAATGGCTCAACTGCTTTCAGAATGAAGTGCTGCAGGACTGGAGGAGACGCCGTTCTCTGGAATTAGGAGCTGGGAGAGACACATCTCCATCTCCAGGGACCTTCTGGGCTGAGCTGTGAGCACAGGGCCTTATTTTTCATGAGTGCTTTCAGTTAGGGAATTTATGACTTTGCCCAGATAAAGATTTCTTTTGGTTACTTTCTAAAATCAACAGATCAGGCAAGTTACTGGTAATTTCTCAAAATGAAATCTGGCCGTGTTAGTATCTTAAGGTGCCAACTAGTTCATGTTAATGCCCATCAATAGCTGCTGCTAGTACCAACTGCTGTTGCTGAACAATCAACCCTCAAATGACCTAACTAGATAATCTATCACACTAGGTGCTTTTACTATCTTGGATTTTTTTGAGCTTTAGAGAAATAGTCTTTGTAATATGCCTTAGGAGCTTCTTCTCTCTGGCTTTGTTTCACTCTTCCTCTTCTTCTTCCCCTTCCCCTTCCCCTTCCTCCATGGTCTCCACAATGAGCTCTGCTGTGCAGGTGGCTTCTCCGAGACTGTTGACAGCCTTGCAGGTGTACTTGGCATCGTCGTCCCCGCAAACATCGCTAATGATTAAAGAGCAGTTCCCATCCTCGTCGTAGTCTATCTGGAAGTGGCGGGACTCCCGGATTGACTGGTCATCTTTGAACCAGACAACTTCAGGGTCTGGGTATCCTGCAGCACAGGGAGAGGACACAAGTTGCAGAAACGATTATTCAAAGTTTCTTATCAATTCATGCAAGCAGCTCCTAAGCAACCTCTATTGATTAAGGGGGTACAGGAAAAAATCACGATGTTGGCTTTTAGCATCTCTTTTGAGATTTACATTCAGATATGGGCATATGTTGTAAATAGCAATATCTGAAATCCCACAAAAGGTACTTTACAGGCATGCCATTTGCCATCCACGTGGGGCTTGTACTACGTCCCACCTGCAACACAGCCCTGACTCCAGACACACGCCTAGAGCTAAAGATCCCCTTGGAGGAAAAAAAAAATTTCTTATCTTGTGTAGAAGTTGAACTTAAATAAATTTAAATAAAAAACAAGAGAACAAATGGGCACAAGAGATCTTTAGGGGGTGATGGAAATGTTCTAAAATTGGATTGCGGTGATTGTACAATACGATGGGTAAATTTTATGTTACGTAAATTACAACTCAAAGCTCATAATAAGCTCCATAATACATAAGTTAGAGGATCTGATAATATTGCTAAGAAAAAAAAGCAATATTTATCTTAGTCTGATCGAAAGACAGACAATCTGCCAACTATAGATAACTGGAAATTGACCACATTGGTTAGCCTCATTTTATGTTATTAGTCATGTTTCTGGAAAATTCAGCATTTAAAAAATATATTTTATATACATATATACATCTTATGTATTATATATATATATATATACACACTCACACGGATAAGCCTTTACAAATATATAATAATTCTAACTGACTTTTTCTTTACGTTTTGGAGAAATATTTTTACAGGAAAAAAATTACAGCCCCATTCAGAATAAAAATTACACATAAGAACTTAAGAATTCGAACATTCTTTTCAAGTAGATTTTGTTTGTATCAAAATGGCAGCCATATGCTTTAATTCCTCCTTAGTGCTCTGGTCAAAGTTCTGCAAATAATGAAGGAACTAATCCCAAAGAGAAAAGTACAAAAATGATAATCACTATGTTGTAATAATTTTTAAAAAGGAAAAACCTTCAGAAGACCCAGAGACAGTGGTGATGGTGGGAATTCTGAGCATTGGCCCCAGAGCTTTCAACAGTGTCCCCAAGGTGCGCACTTCCATACTAGCAAAGGCAACAGATCTACCTTTTTTTTTTTTAATTGAATAGAAAAAAAGAAAGATGATTATAGGCCCTGTATTTACAAGGCAATCTGAGATACATATAATGATGCAGGAGAAAAACTTTTCTCATTCCTCGCTTTGGGTTACTTTACCCAAAAGGCATTATCTAGTCCTACTGCTGGAGAATCTTAGAACGTGGGAGACATGATTTGTTCTGACGGCTGTCCTGTTGCTATGCAGCCTTGGGAAAGTTGCCTAATGAACTCCTGTGCTTTATTTGGTCAGACTGAAATGGGAGATAACCCTTCACTTTGGTTGGCACACAACAGTCACAGACTTGAGACAAAGAACCCTGTCTTTTCTTGCCCTTATCTTTCTGGAATGTTGCCGTCTGTGGAAATGGAAATGCTCTGTGTCACCAATACTGCTCACTTCTCAGGTGCTATGCTAAGATCCCTTAAGTTCCCTTGAGCACTGACAGCTCACAATTCTATGGCCACATTATTCTCGGCAGGCAGAGAAGCATGGGGAAGTTGGCACAGGCACCTGGAGCGCAGCTTCCCTCCATCTGAAGTCACATGGCATGCTCACTCTCTGCACTTACCAATCCCACAACTTTTCCCTTGGTGCCATGACATCTTGAACAGACTTAAGAGGTTCCCCCTTTTCCCATATGGCCTTTCACAGCATTCCCCAGAGCTACGCAGGCATTAGACATCATCTTAAGGTTAAAGGCCTGAGGCTCGGAAGACTTAGATCACCACCTAAGGTCACACAGCCCGCAGATGAGCAGCAGAGCCACCCGACTCCCCATCCTATACTCTTCATGGCCACCTTCCTTTGAAGCCTCTTGTGGGCAGTTCACATGCTTCCCAGAAGCTTGCAAAGCTCATTTCATTAAGCATGTTCCATAGCCAAACAGGTCCATGATAAACCACTTTCAACTTGAGTCTAGTGGCTGATGTAAGGATGTGAAATGGCAAGGGTGTCCTAGGCGAGTCACTGAATGGCACCAACCTTCAGGAGGCGGAATGGGAGCAGTTGGCCAACTCCTCCTGGCCCCATTGTCCTCGCAGCCTGGCTGCCCAGAATGAACATTTTGCCCGGGGCACAGGGCAGAGCCCACCAGTCCACCACACCACTTTTGTAGTCAAGGGAAGAATAGCTACAACTTACCTTCAATCTTGCAGTCAAATCTAGCAGCGCTTCCCTCCACAACTTCTAAATCACGGATGGTCTTAGAGAAATAGGGTTTTACATGGGGCTTTTCCTCTGCAACAGCCTCAAGGAAAGCTTGAGACACATCTTCTAGGAGACAGGGAAGGAAATGCGGTCAGTTCTTCATTCCCTGTTCTCTCCTCTTCCCTCTTTTAAAAAAGCTGACTTTTTTTTTTTTAAGTTGCTATAATTCAGCAAATAATGCAGCTTAGAGGACTGAATCAAGCACACCTTTCTCCTGGGGACAGGTTGGCCTGCTGCCAAAAGGTTTTGGCAGCGGAGAGAACCATAACCAAACTGCAGAAATGTTTGAACTCCCCCCCTTTCCCTTATGCTGACACATTGAAAAAGGAAATAATCTTTAAAAAGGATTTTTGGCTGCGTTCCATGCTGTTTCAGGATTCAGTGGAGGGTATCTAACAAGGACAAACCAGAACAGCCTTCCCGATCTCTGTCCCCCCTTTGCCCTCCTCCTGCAGCATCAGGCCCTTTACCTGCTCCTCGGGAAGGAGGAGCTGGGTCCTAGATGCATCTTCAACCTGCCTGAAGTTCTGTTCTCCACACTTACACTGCCTTCCCATTGTATGTCGTGGACCAGGGATTCAGGGAAAAGCTGTCCTTGGAGGGGCTCCTGTATCTTCTCCCTTCCTTTCAGGCTATTTCTGGGTCATCTGAGGAGTATGGATCAGGAGGGACCAGGCCCACATGCTGCAGACTATGCCCCCGACTCCATCAGAACAGCCCAGCAAGCAGCCTCGCCAATTCCCCTACCTTTATACTCAGGAGGGATCTAGACTTAGCTTCTCACCTTTGGATACCAAAAACACCAGGGAGCGGGAAGTAGGGGGGTGTCTTTGGCAAAATGAGGTGCCTCAAGAAGATAAGGGCCAGTCCCTACGTGTATCTGGAGCAGGAAGAGGCCGAGGCCTTCACTGAGGAGATGGTCAAGGCAGCATCTCGCAGACGGTGTGCAAATAACTAACCCTACTGGTCTCCACGAGGAGCCCTGTCATGCACAGTCTACCCCATTCAAACGACATGTTTCAGCATCATGAAAAATGCCAAATGAATATGGACTATAGTTCGTTTTTTTAAAGAAAAACACAAAGATGGAAGAATATGGAAGGATTTTATTTTTAAGATACTACTACATGTGTTTATTTATGTTTACCTATCAATATACAAATATCGCTTTTGTAATGAGAAAAAAGGAAGCTTTTAATGAAGTCTTCGCTAATTCTTATGTAAAATATAGGGAAAAGAACAGCGGAGGTCATCTGGTTCTATTAGACAAATAACTTTCCCTCTGAAAATAGTTAAACTTAAGGTTGAACAATTAAAGAATAACTAGTAATTGTTGTTAGGGCAACCTAAAATTAGTTCTGAATTTAATCCTTGTAGTTTATATTATATAAAAAACAAACAAACCGAAAACCCCCCAAAACCTCAAAATGTCCCTCCATCCCCCAACCCTTCCTTTCTCACCAATTGGCTGGAGAAAAATCTTCCTGGAGCTCCTTACCTTCAGATTCTAATTTTTCTGCATTGAGCGGGCTGGTTGGTGACCCTGTTGAGGATTTCCTGCCACTGAGCCCTGAGATCATTGCCATAGAGGACAGTCTTCCAATGGCTCTCACAGCATTGCCCGTTTTCTGGAAAAGAGACACTGGGGTTGGACTCAGGCGGCGTCCCTGTCTCCAGCTGGGCAGTGGGGTTCGGGGAGAAGAGCCTAGCCCAGGAGAAGTAGCTGTCCCTGAAACGAGGGCCTCCCAAGTGCCGAGGTTCTGCCAGAGGAGTGAGCCCAACCTTGCTCTGCTCAGCACTATCAGCGTGTCAGAAGATGTTCGGAGAATGGAATGGGGCCTGGAACCAATGTGTGCGTTAATGTGACTAAACAAGGTCAACATGAGACAAAAACCCTTTTCATACTGTGCTTCAACTCCCATAAAAGGGATAGTTTATATAAAGCAACTGCAGGCTGAGACAGCTCCAAAGACTTATTGCTGACGGGGCCCAGTGGGGCTGTTTCTCGTAAAACAATACTAGTGATAGGAATTTAATTGGTCCAGAGAAAGTTACTACAGATCTGACAGGTCATGATGCGAAGAAAAAAAAGAAAAAGCATTCTATTGACCTTGGGCAAGTCGCTTAACCTCTCCGGGCTTCAGTTTCCTTCTGTTTAAGGAAGGGTTTGGACAAGATGATCTCCAAGGTCTCATTAGTTCTGTTTATGATTCAGATACTTAAGAGATTTTGAGAAACACTCAGCCTGGCCTGTGAGTCTGTGAATCCACAATGAGGTTCTGGAGGGGTGTACCTCCCTGACATACAGCCAGGCATCAAAAAGAAGAACCCAAAGAAATGAAAGGCAGCGGCACTTTGCTTTTCTGAGATGAGAAACCTTGGGAGAAGACAGAATTTCTGCTGAAAAGGACGGCAGAACTTGCTATGAAAACTTCCTTCGCATTGTGAAAATTCTACCAAGCATAGGATTTAGGTCAGGAAATACCCTATAATATAGAGTTGTGTCTGTGTTTCTCCTTCACGTTCTGATCCCACAGGTCCTTGAAGGTCTCACCTCCAAGTGATGTTTCCCGCCCCTATTCTAAGGTCAGTGGAATGACGAGGTAAGAAACGAAGGCATCACCAACTCTTTCCATCCCTGCACCCAAAGCATCTTTTCAGGCATCCTGCCACTGCATGTCCAGAGTGCAGACACCACCACAGACTGGCTCCCCAGAGAGTAAAGAAACAGCCTGCACATAGGCCAGTGGCCGGCACTCACCTACTGGGCCATAAACTGCACCGGCACAGCCATTTCCTCCTGAACTAACTTCATGTGCTCAAGTATTTCAGTAAAGCCTCACGATTTTGGACTATCTGGAAAGCCAGGATATTTCCATAAAAAGATTATTTTGAAAGTAAAGAATCACAGGGCACTAAGGACTCATAAGGGTGTGTGTGTGTGTGTGTGTGTGTGTGTGTGTGTGTGTGTGTGGTTTAAGCCGAGATCTGCTATAACGGCCGCCACTTTTCTGTTTGTCACACGCCATCCTTGTGGCTGACTCTTTTCATGCACTTTGGACAGACATTCCATTCTGCTCTGTCCTCTGGCCATCCGCCCTCTCGCATACATCACTGTGGTGTGGTTATGTTTCCGGCCCTCTGTCACCGTGGTGAGGCTGCGTCCCTCGGACCAGAATTCCAGAAGCCCCAGGTGGAGGTGATGTTGGGATGGGGGAAGAAGAAGAGAGGACAACGGACCAACTTAGTTGTGTGCAGAGGCCCCGTGGCCCTGCAGAGAATGTACCTGCAGACTGAGCCCACTTGGCAGTCTTGCATGCTCTGCCTGGAGAGGCTCTTCCTGGTGACATCATTGATCTATTTGTTGTGCTAGCTGGAAAGATCCAGCTCTTCCCATGGGAGCTCATCCTGACCTCAGGAAGGGGCAAGAGGAGGTGCCAGCCACGGCAGCCCTCCCTATGGAGTCGACGTCAGACCTGACTATTCCCAAGTCAGCCAAACTCTCAGACCCAGCCCTTCTGGCTCTTGATTCCCTTTATCCAACACAGATTGGTTTGCCTGGGCCAGGAGTCGCTCAACTCAGAGAGTAGAAATTTACAATGCAAATCAGTTCCTCTCTGTGGACCTCATGTTCTTGAACCAGATTTGAATCTCCCCATAGCTCCAGTCTTCTCCAGAGAGACTATGATCCATACATGTGACTGTGTAGCAGGGAACACTCCCCATGAGCCCATGGGCTCCCTAATTCCAAACGCCTGGACTGTGACTGATTAGGACTATCTTCACTTGTATGGTGTGGAATAAGGAAGTCTTTCCTCTTCTGTTAACAAAATGACTAATGTGAAGTTGCCAGAACAAGGCAGATAAAAGAGAGTATTTCAGAGAAGGAAGCCACTACACATTAACAAAGAGGCTTCCATCAGATGGAGTATTACAGCATCTAATTTCTAGAACAGGGAGAAAAGTAAGACGTGCTTAATAAGGAAAATCTTAAAAATAATATACATCAATCTTTGGGAACTGATTTATGAAAAAAAATCAGTAGAGAAATTGTCACAACTAGAAAAGAAATACATCTGTATGTTCTAGTCTTCCAGTTTCATGCCTTTGAGCTGAAAATTGGTTGCTGCTTTACTAAGATTTTAGAAATTTTTGGAACATCAAGAAAATTTCAATACCCTAAGTTCCATCCTTGCTTTGAGGAAGTCTTTTTCTTGTCTAAGGGCAATTGCCCAGGCTGGGTTCCTATGCTCCAGGCGGGTACTGTTTGTACGGTCCTCCCTAATGCCACACAGGCTCCCTCCCTTGGGAGAGCCAGCGAGGGTGACTAACCAGCCTGGGTTTGCCGAGGACGGAGAGGTTTCCCAGGAGGAGAGTCTTTCAGGGCTAAAGCTGGGATGGCCCCTGGCACACTGGGGCAAGTTGGTCACCCTAGAGCCAGCCAGCCAGCCATCATAGACCCTGCGTATATACCCACAGCTCTGAGACTCCAGTTTCCCCTGATAAGTGACTATCCAAATGTGATGGCTAAGAGTACTCTCTGCTATACAGAGTCAAAAGCTTTCTTCTCTATGGGCCTATGGTCCATACTGCTGGAGTCTTTGTGGGTCTCAGAAAATAAAGATGGCTGCCCATTCCCAGTCCTTTGCTTCCAGTTTCACAAGCAGCAGCGCTGTTATCCTATTCAACTCACCCTCAGTGCTGCTGCTCATCACGTCTTTTTAAAATTCTTTCATATGAATAAAAAACGTACCTTCTTTCAGAAGATCAATGACTCCTAAGATCAATGACATGATTAGTCATCTACATGTTACCTTACTTATAGGGATTTGCTCTCATGTTACTTCCTTCTTCCTGGGCCTTTTATGGAAACCACACCAGAATGATAGCAAGGAACCTTCTCTTGCGCAGCCATAGAGATTTCTGGGCCACCTGTGTCTGCCCTGGGCCCTTCCCTCCACCACAGCCCACCCCATTTTATTCCACTGCACTTTACTCTGCCCCACCACACGCAACCTCAGCTGCTCTGAGAGGGAAGCCCCTATTCAGGGTGTGCTAAGGTCCTGGTATCTGGGGTAAAAAATGTGGATGGTTAGATGCAGGTGAGCCATTACCAGTGAAATTATGCTTCAGGGACATCTTGTGCCACATGGGATTTTATAGACTACTTTTGTGTGTAATTTTGTGAAACCTAACCACTATTTTTGTGGAAAACCTATTTCCAAATGCTGCTACCTATATGAAGGTATGAAATTAAGGTTCCTACTCTGAATTCTATCCTTTTCTTTCCCTTCTCACTTCCAGAAAACCTTATGGCTAGTAACACTGTTAACAAGTAGGAAAAACTTTGATTTAAAGTATCAGCACAAATTATGTTTCCCTGACCCGTCAGACTAAAAAATTCCATTTATTTCCTCTCCCATTCCCTTTTCTCTGTGCCTGTCCCTTGGGTTCAGGTCCTTCCTGAAGGCTTTGGTTCATCAACAGATGTGTCGATGCTCCCAGAGAGCTTGAAGTGATAAGGCTGCCTCTTAACCCACAGCATCATCCAAGCAAAACCCCGTGAGACTCCCTGCATGTAGGGACCACCCCACGCCCACACCAGCCACCCTATTCACTCCAAAAATACCATTATTTCTTTGAGATCTACTGGCCATAGGATCATTAACAAAGCCAACTTTGATTTTATGGACCCCTTTATGTTTTAAGAACATTAGTTACTCTGATTTCACTGGATCCTAATGATACCAGAGGGTAAGGTAAGGAACACAGGTGTTCCAAGTCACCTGGCACTTGAGGGAACCAAGAGACCCTCCCTAAACCTTCAGCGGGGGCTAACCAGGAACTGACTCCCACTGTGGGGGAGTCCTGGCTGAGCCACTCAGGGGGCAGTAACCCCTTAAACACACGCACCCTAAGGCCCCCTCCGCCTCTCCTCCCCTCAACCTCTGTGTGAAGTTGTGCTTTTTGGGGGTTTAGTGACTACAGTTTAGTCCTGCTCTATGGCAAATTACCAGTGTCCCAGTTGCCTCTAAAACAGAGATTTCCTTCTTCTCTGCCACACAGACCATTTTTAAATGCCCCAGTTCCCTTGGCTGCCCAGTTAAAGGACTCTGCTCCTGTCTCGGGGTGAGGACCTCTGCACCTTCTCCTCTGTTTGTGCTGTATCCCCTCTTCTCTCGTTCTAGCCCATTTTCCATGACCACTTTCAAAGTCCTCCCCCTGGCAGCATTTCCTCACAACCACATCCAACTCTGGTGTGACTGACTCCTTTCTCCCATCTACACTCACATATATGGCTATGGAAGGCTATACTGATAGTTTATGATTCTTGGTGTGCATTATGTCCTTTTATGTCCATTTGCTTCAGTTCCCCATTACACTATACATTCCTTGAGTATAGAAACCCATGTACCGGCATGTCGAAACCATAGCCCAGAAATTTTGTAATACTAATAGTGATAATAAAAATAAAATAGCTGGTGACAAGTTCTCTATGGTTTTGGATGACAATTTTATCCATCTGCTATTAATCAGAGGCAATTTTGTGCCATTGTTAAGACTGTACTTTGGAGCCAGGCTCTGGGTTTGAATCCACTCCCATTTACTAGCTACGTGATCCTTGGTGACTTTCCTAACCTTTCTCAGCCTCAGCTTGTCTGTAAAGTGGGGATAATAATAGTACCTGCCTCCTAGGATTGAAAGACTCACCGCATAGAAAGTGCTTTGAATGTTTCCTGACATATGGCCAGCCCTCCATACATATGAGCTACTGGTATCATTTTTGAACACTTACTATGTGCCATGCAATATGCTCAAGGCCAGATGAAGATTACTTCATATAATTCTACCAAAGATGCTGTGATGTTGGTACCACTATTACCCCCATTTTACAGGTGAGAATATGAAGGCATGGGAAGGTTGTCACTCACCCAAGGACACATAGTAACGTACAATCTCCCTAGACAGTGGGGACCATATCTCTCTTTGTAGATCCTGTGCCCTCCTCCTTCACTATAAAGAAATATAAGGCCATCACACTGTCTTTAAGGAGATCACATTCTCCAGGGTGGCCAAATAGTCTTCAAGGTGACATTGCTCAACCCTAGCCACAAAGACATGAAATGTCGGTCTTGGTCCCAGACTATTTCAGAAACAGATGTAAATATTCTTGGATTGAGGGTAGCTCCAATAAAGCAAATGTGAGGGGCAACATCTGAGTCCAAAGGGATACCCTCGTTACCTGCCATTTCCTTCTTGCCATGTACTTCTTCATCCGGTCCTTGGAGAGTTTCTTGGCCTCCATGTTCTTGGTGTCTTTCATAAGCCATGGATGCTGAAGGCACTGGGTGCAGTCCAGGCGGTTTCTGATGGAGGCAGAGATCAGAGGATTTCTGAGCAGGAGGGGACCTCAGAGACTGCTGGTCAGATCAGAATTGGGAAGTCACCTGTCCTTGGTCACACAGGGCAGAGCCCAGCGCTCTCTCTGTTCCCAGTCCATCCACCATGATCAGGGTCACTGTGCTCCTGGCCTTTTTCCCCTCTTGGTCTGAGTTACACTGACTTACTCTATGTAAGTGATTAAGTGTTAAGGCCTAACCACCACGTAAGCAACTGGAGTCTCATGACCTGCCCTTGGGGTCTAGGAAGGGTAAAGGCAGACACATCTGAGAATGATATTCTACAGTGGGGTCATTCTACTGGTCACACGGGCGCAGGGAGCTGTGGAGGCCTAATCTTTCTGTCTCCTTGTCTGGGGGAGGAGAGAGTAAAACATTAGGCCAAAATCTCTGAGAATCACTGAGCTCTCATGTCTTATGTTGTGGTTGAGTGTCGGGTTTTTCTTGTTAAAACTCAGAAGTATGTCCTACATACAACCTATGAATTATGACAGCCTTAGAAACTGCACTCAGACTCATTTAATCTTTCTGAAAGCTCTGGGATTCTAGAAATAATTCAGGGTCATCACCTTAATTGTAATAGGACTAACAGAGCCCAAAGAACCAAATGTTAACATACATAGAAAAATAAGTATAAGTAAATTTGCTAAGTGTAGCAAAATGTAGTGATCTTTAGATAAAGGGATTATGGATTATTTTAATTTTCCTATATTCATATTTTCTACAATTTACATGTATTAATTTTATAATACAAAAATATTTTAAAAAGTGTAGATAGGTGGAGATTTCTGGCTAAAGAGATGCAACGTTTTAGAGTTTATGGGAATCGAGTGTCTTGACAATTTGAAATCAGTTCTTCGGTGAATCCATTTTATGAGCACAGAGGGGCCAGCACAGCTCATTACTGAATTAATTCAAGGTCGGATGAGAAAACAGGTATATACATAATGCCTCATTTACCAAATCTTCAGTGAATGAAGCTCGATGGACAAAAGCCATCCTGGACCAGTGTTATTGGGAAGGAGGTCTGCATCTCCATGAAGCACCCTGAGAGTGAGGATCGCTCCCACTGGAAGGGAATCTAGGCCCCCACAACATCCAGATTGTACCCAGGTCATGCCTACTTCTGCTACAAAGGCTGTGAGAGCAAAATGCCAAAAAGGCCTCACCAAAGGAGTGTGGATGTAGCTTCTGGAGGAGTTTGGCCTGAGGTAGCTCAAAAGGACTGAGAGGTGGACACATAACCAGAAAATCGGAGCCATCTGAGAGACCCTCCAACTCTGCTCTTTTCACAGCTGTGCTCTTGGTCCCAAACAGGATTTCTCCCAAAGGGGAACAAGATAACTGGTAGCCTCAGGGGGTCTGTGGGCTAGGCAGACAGGGCGGAACCTGCACCCCAAAGTCACCTGGCTAATGCAGTCACCTGACTGTGGAGTCTGGCCGCCCTTCCCCTTCTCATCCTCTGGTACCCCATCTATTCAACGCCACCCTTCTAGGGCAAAGCTTAGAACTGTTCCCTGTTGCCAAATGCTACTGGGGGGCTCCTGGGGCCAGGCCCTGCCTCATCTAGCCACCTGTTTACAGAGGGGGCGAGGCACCCAACGGGCCGGTTGCTCTCATCTGACAGCCACGGCTCCCTTCCCCAAGGCAGGCCAGCTTTCCCTACACACGCACAGCATCCCCGCCCCCCTGCTGTACTCCCACCAGTTCCCTCGCCCGGAGAGTCCTCACCCACGAATTCGGCTGGCCACACCCGAGGCCTCCGCCCTAGCCTCCCCAGCTCTGCTCTTCTCTCATGGGAACACTTACAGTGCGCCCTGTGTGTCTGACCTGCTGTCACGGCCTCAGGCCGTCCATGTGACCCAACACACCGGCCTCCCAGTGGTCACTACTGTTTTATGTGTCCCCCTACCGACCACAAGGGCAGCTCCCGGCAGCCCCCACAGCCTGCACGGTGAGGGGGGCCAGGGACCACGTGGGGACAGGGCTGAGCCAGTGGTCTGAAATCACAGCCTCACTTAGGCCAGTGGGAGCAGGTACCCTGTTCAGGCCGGCAGTTCTTAAATCACTGAGATATGGAAAAAACACCAAGCCGGATTAGCACAGGGGTATGATCAGGGGCCACAAACAGGATACTTCCGGAGTGACCCCCGAAGAGGGGCTGAGGTTTCAGCCTGGCTTCTGTGGCCACACTCGCACACAGAAAACCAAAGGGGCTATATCATTATTCACACAGAACAGGCTGCTCCTCTCCCTGCAACATTGGTCAAGGATTGCTTTTCGAGTGAGGTTTCTGTGCTTCTCAAGACCAGTCGGGTGTTGGGGAGCGGGGGGCCTAGGAAGACTCCTTCTCCTCCCCACTACTCGCAGTGCCTGCCCCCCTCTCCTCAGGGGAGAGGGGACCCACATCGGGCAAAGGAAGTCCCTGCTTCCGGACCCCAGTCCAGGGAGTGGGGAAGCTGAAAAGATGGAAATGTCAACTCATTACTTCATATCTTTCTTCAGCAAATTGCTGATAAAATCCTTGGCATCCTCAGAGATCTCATCGAACGCTTCGTCATCAAAGTCCCAGGTGGCTGAGGTAACGTTGGCTAGGGTTTCATTGTCGTTGTCACCCATGAAGGGGGAAAGTCCACTAACCCTGGAAGAGAAGAACAGGACGGCCAGTGAATGGGCGTGGGTGTTGGCAAGGAGGGCACGGTGGGACGATCCCTCCAAGTGAGTGTTACCGAAGTCAAAGGTGAGGGCCCGCAAAAGCCTGCACCCATAACACCCCTGTGCCTGCCGTGCCTGCCTTGCCTCCCGCCAGAGAAAAGAGAAGGTGTGGGTCCCCAGCTTTCGTGGCCGCGACTCTTCTCAGTGCTCACAGTACTTTTGGCGTGTCACTGCCTATTGTCACCACCTGCCTGTGAGGCTGAGGGGAAGGAATTTACGTCAGTTTACGGCTTTGGCAGGACACAGCAGGGCCCCTCGTCCCTGTCCTCTGTTCTTGCCCAAAGCCCAGAACCTTCTCCAAGGCTCCTGGGTGGAAGACCACCTTCCTCTCCGCGCTGGTGCCACCCTCACCAGGGACTAGTTACATGGTACTCCCCACCCCACCGGGCCACCCCTGCTCCCTTCTACCGCTCATCTGCACACCCGTCAGCACCAGTGACAGGGCCCAGCACGCCCGGGGTGCTTAGCAAGCATGGACGAACAGCAGACTTGGAATCAGCAACATGGGTTTGGTGATCCGTCTATCCCAGTGAGCCTGAGGCACTTAGGCCAAACCAGAAAGCTTCCCTAAGAGATACCAAGGCTGAGGAAATAGCACAGTCTGTTCCTTTTCTGGGTGATCTGGGACAATTTCCTAATCTCTCCGTGCCATGTTCTCCTCCTCTATATAATGGAGAACCTACCACTTAACTATACAGTGGTCACCACTTTTACTTATTCTACTTCTCCTCTTCCTCCTTCTCCTCCATCAAGAGCATCCTGGCAGCCAACATTTACCGTGCGCCAGGCACTGGGCAAACAGCTTAAAATAGATGAACTCATTCAATCTTAATACCACCCCATAACCCAGGCAACTCATACTTTAACAGACGCGGGGATGGGCACAGAGTGGGGTTAAGTAACTTGCCCAAGGTTTCAATCAGTGAGATCTGAACCCAAGCACATTTCTCTAGAGGCTGGATCTTAACTGCACCTTTAAACGAGTATTTCTATGCAGATGAAGCAATCATGGTGTCCAGCTCTGGCATGAGGCCTGGTCCATAGTAAGGAGCTTTGTCCATGACTGCAGATATTATACAGTTCTTCCACGTACAGTTCAGCCCCACTGCCTCACCAATCTGTGACCTCAGGAATGACGCATTTACCAATAACTTAAGGCAAATGATATTTGTAAGGCCAAGTATCTCAAAGCCAAGTAGGACAGATTTACGGCTTACCGGCCTGATCACTCACTTCCGTGTACCTCATCTTTGTACCAACCGTCCCCCCGGCCATTCACCCTGACCTAGAGCGACCTCCTGGGTGTCAGGCCTAGGCAGGTGCACAGGGCCCCACCCTTAGAAGGTCCCACTCTTGGTCTAATGATCTGCTCCTGTCATACTGAAAGTCATAGTAACGTTTGAACGAGTCACTCCCCCTTTTTATTCTGCATGGGGCCCCACAAATTATGTAGCTGGTCCTGCCCTGACCCCACTTGAGTCCCATGAGATGGATCCAGGGCCTTCATGCCATCAACCTTCCAGATGAAGCCTTCACTAATGTCCCTTTCCTCCAAATCCTTAAGAACCCGTCATCATAAACAATGACACAAACCCTTCTGGAGGCGTCTCTACATCCAAACGGCCTCAGCTTATGAAATACAACAGCACCTGCAAACTAAGTTTTGTAAAACAAAACCCACTGATATATTGTGAGGCAAGCTTGCCATGGGAGGAAGCCTCTGGCGAAACCTTTTGTAAAAAGAAGAAAGCTTTTGCAATGTGAGTTGTCTTGCCCTAGTCAATATACTTGTGTTTTAGAATAACAGAGTTTTGCAGATGGCATTAAAATGTCTTAAAGCAAAACACTGATTTCTGTTCTGTTTGAAGAAGGCATGGGGCTAATTATGCTCGGTTACATGACAACGAAGGAAGGGTGGGCGCGAACCACTCCCGAGTCTGCACCGTTATAGGCTATTCCTCTCCCCCCTCCCCCAACACACACTCTCTGGGTCTCAGGTTCCCCTTTTTTCCACCAAGGGTGCTGGGCTAGAATTCCTAGGGGCTTCCAGCTCTCCCCATCTCTGTGATTCAGTGTGACCCCAGCTAGCCCATCTCGAAGCAGCCTGACTCTTGCTTGTCAGCTACACGCCTCCTTCTGTCTTTACATTTTGCATTTGAAACAAAGAGGGGGAAAGTCCTGCAGCATTCCAAAGACTGCAAGAAGAGCAGACAACCCTGCTGTGGAATGCTGCACCATCCTCTTCTCTAAACCTCCTTTCCTAATTAGGGACTGTAATCCTGCAAAGATAGGGCTTAATCTCTGTAAAGTTCACAGCTGGGGAGAGCCTCCTCGGCTCTGGCAGCCCTCCTTTCTGGCAGCCCAGCCATCTGAAATACCCCCAGCCCTGGCTGGGTCCTTGCCTGCCAAGCTCCCACAGAATTCCTGTTAAAGAGTATGTCTCTAAAATAAAACTTGCAATATATGCAGAGCATGATGACAAAGAGAGTGTCAGAATTTCAGTAATGTTTCTTGGTGGTGGGATTTGGCAGAACTTTTTTTTTTTTAATTTCTTTTTTGGGCTTTTTATTGCTAGAATTTGCATAAGGATCACGTATGGTTGGGTTGATGAACCCAGTCAACAAACATAATAACATTAGTGTTAGAAACACAACTACCCACCCCTCTTCCTAGTTTTATCTCATTTTTTAACTGAAGGGGATCAAAGTATGCCACTCCAAAATATGCCACTTTGGTATAAAGAATGTTTTGAGACGAACCATTAGAGACGATGGACTCTGAAAAACAAACTGAGGG